CATCAGTTATTTCTCCAAACTTAGAACTTCTTGGCATTTGCAACATTTTAAATTTTTCCTAATTCTTGGAGGTTAACTATGCGATTTCCCTCACAAACATAACTTTTACTTTCACTCTCCTCTTTTTTCTTTCTTCTTGCTGCTAACATAGCAGCTGCAGCTTTTTTTCCTTTTTTCGATTACTTTCAACTTGGCTAATCTGCCATTCTTCATCCGAACTCTTCCTGTCATTTTGACATTGAACAACTAAAAGTGCGTTGTTGCCGGATCACTATTTTCTTACGCAATTGATAGTGTGTGTATACACAGACGAAACACTAGCGCTCTTGCACAGACAGTCAGTTACAAAGGGTGTGTTCCAAAATTGATTGTCAGCGCTGGCAGCACTGCAAATGCCGTTCCGTTTTTATACGCCTTATTAGAAAAAGCAAAAAGAAAGAAGCAAAAAGAAAATCGTATGGAAGTAAATCTAAAAAAAAGAGTTATATCAGAATCAGGTAAAATTATATTTATGTTTATTATTGATTTATTTATTTGTAACATTTATCCTAAATATTATTCTAAATATTACATTTATCCTAAATATTTTCCTAAATATTATAAAAAGTTTAATAAGAAATATTCCTCTGAATCTAAAAAAATATCAAATTAATATTTTATAGAAAATACAGACACGGACGTAGTTGCTAATGTAAACGACCCAAGCTGTAGTGAAAACGATTCAACTTTCGAGTTAAAAGGTAAATTAAAATATAGATTAAGATTTAATTAATTTTTAAGAAAGAACATTAAAATTGTTTTCTATTTGTCTAGATCAACATATATGGACCCGTCCAGAAACAATGCTGCTTATAAATATATATAAAGAACATATGGCAGATTTCAATAATCCTAAAATTTCAACAAAACGATGCTGGAGCATGTTATCCAAAAAAATGGAACATGCAGGATATCAAATATCTCCTACAAAATGCGCAACAAAATTTCAAAGTCTAAAAAGGTCATATAAGTCCGTTACAGATCACAATAAGAAATCTGGAAATAGTAGAAAGCAGTGGGAATATTATGAGGTATATTATTTATTAAAAATTTGGAAGTAAAAATTATTTATTATTAAGGATAATGTATTGTTTTGTAATAATAAATCATTACAAAATAGCAATTGTAATAATCAATTATATATATTACAAAATTATATACGAAGTTAAGTAATGTTATTACTTTTAGTAACTTTGAGTAAAGTGTATTATTATTTTGTAATAATTTATTATTATATCTTTTATAATTATTAATGAAATACATATTATAGAACGAAGAAAATCTTTTTTATGTTAGATCATGCACGAGATATTTGGTACAAAACCATGGATTGAACCACAAGCAATAGCTGGGTCTAATGTTGCTATTACAAAAACTGATATAGAAAATAATTCAGAAAGTCCAGAAGGTATCATAATTTATTATAAAATATAATAATAAAATTATTAAATACAATGATTAGATTATCAATGGTCATATTTTATAATACAGAATTATATTGAACAAGTGTAGGACTCATTTTAAATTACTTTTTAAAAGTGATTAGAATCGTAAAAAAAATTATATGAAATATATAAATAATATTAAAATTTTTAAAAAAATATTTTGTTATTATTTTTATCTCAAATTATTACTTTTTTTGTTGCAGCGCCAAAGAAACGAAAAATTAATCACGTAGTAGAAAATTATTTTGAAAAATCTATACAATTTAAAGAAGAAAAAGAGAAAAATGCTCAGAAAAGACATGAAGAAAAAATGGCTTATCTAAGAAATATAGAAAACTTAATGACAAAGATGCTTGAAAAATAACATATGTGTTACCGTTATAAGTTATAATCTAAACTTATTTTCATTTTACTGTTATATTTTAAATATGTTAAATAATCCTATTATTGCTGCGTATTTTAGTTTATTATACATATTATACATTATTATATATATATTCTGCAGTATTACCAAATTTTTTTTATTTAATATATATATTTGTTTCATAAAATTTTATTTTATGTAATAAGATGTATGTAATTGTGATATTCTTTTTTAAGTTTTATTATTTCATATGTAATTTTATGTCATGAAATTGTGATAGTTTTTCTTTACGCTTATTATAAATAATAATAGGATTATCAATAAGTAATAATAAAGACTGATAAAAATACAAATATTATAAAAGAATTGATTTGCGTGTCAAAAAATTGTTCAAACATTGATTAATAAAAAATATATATCAAGAAATACAATCTACTTGGGCTTGAGATCCTCTCATCAATATATATATTATAAAAGAAGTTTGTAAAGAAAATGATAAGAAAAATAAATATGTTTAATGTATAAATATTGTTCTTATTATATTAATGTTTTATAATGTCTGTGTATTTATATAATAATAACATTATATCTATTGGATTCTATTAAACACTGAAAGTTTTGTATATTTCAAAGTAAAGAATAATAATGAAAAATATAGTATTTTTTCTATAACTTTATTTTCAAGATAACTTTATTACAAATTATAATTTTCATTTTGCAAATAATACATTATTGTATTGCGTTTTTCGACACCTTCCTCTCGCAGACCTTGTATTACATTTTGAGCAACATTTTGTAGACATTCATTTTGCACAATAACAGGCACATCTATGTAATCATCGTGATTTATACAAATATTGTGTAGAATGCAACATGCAACTATATATTTCGGTATTAAATCGGTTCTTCTCATAGGCAATGTATCCAAAAGACTCCTAAATCTTCCTTTCAATAAGCCTATAGCTCTTTCTATCATCATTCTTGCTTGAGATAACCTTGTGTTATATGTAATTTGTGCATTTGTTAAATGTCCGTTGTCTTTAAAAGGAACCATTATACATTTCTGAATGCTGTATGCTGCGTCGCCTAATAGATGACTATTTTCAGGAAAGTGTTGCTCTGTGCATAAGTTTTCAAATCCTGATAATCTGAAAACTCTCATGTCATGCACTGACCCTACCTGTCCTGCATAAACATGAGTAAATTTTAATTCATGATCACATATTACCTGAAAAAAAAATTATATTTTTTTAGAATAAAGAACTATCCAGATATGTCTCTAAAAATGTATAATCAATCAACTTGCAATATCTCGGACCGATTTCTAGTAGCATGGACATTAGTTTTAAAAAGACGTCTAAAAAATGACTAACAGATGTTTTTTAATCATTTTAAAAACGTTCTTTTAGTGATTTTTGTGCTGTTAGTATAATGTTAAAAAATATCTTTAACAATTTTAAATATACCTGTAATTGTATGGAGTGATAGCCCTTTCTATTTATGTAAGCCTCTGGATGCAGTTTTGGTGTAGCAATTTTAATATGAGTGCCATCTATTGCTCCTATTACTTTGGGAAATTTGTATCTGTTTTTAATGCATGTCCAAATTTCTTCAGCTTTTTCTCTATTCGGCCATGTGATAAATTTGTCAAGATGTAAATACAAAGCATTTACAACTTTTCCTACACATCTCCAAGCAGTTCCTTTGCCAACATCAAATCGATCAGCAACACATCTATAATTAAAAAATTTAATATCATTTATTTTAATATTGCATATTTTTTATAAGAAATCCTAACTATAATCAATTTAACTTACCTATAAGAATTAGGAGTTCCCATCATCCATATCGCTAATAACAAAGTTTTTTCTGGTGATATGGTATGTCTGCCACATCCTTCAAATTTGTTCGATAATTGTTCACTTAATAATTCCAATAAAATCCGAAATGTTGGTCGACTGAGGCTATGCAAATTACATTAACATATTATCATATTTATTGGATTTAAACTGTATATTGTATGTAAGTGTCTTTCAATTTTCCAAAATTATTTTTGCATATTTATATATATATATATAATATATATAAAATATAAAAATTTAATTAAATATAAATTTTATTTTCAATTTAAACCAATAATTTGTTGTGTGTCGAAAGACCACAACGTAATAATTATAGGTTAATTAGGCAATAACAATAATAAACATTTAGAAGGCCATTAATCGAGGCCACTTCTCGAGAATCCTGTGACAAAAGTTATTTAATTATTAAACAATTAGGCGCTGACGCGAGCACTCGTTCTTAGAAGCCCGAGTGTCACTTGCGTCTAAAGTAGGTTACAACAGATCAGCATTTTGGTAACACAATGGATCGATATAGTTCAAGTCTCATTGTGTTCCGAATACTGATCCGTATAAATTAAGGCGGCACACAAGGCGCCGCGGGTTTTTATCAGCAAAGTTCCGGACGAAGCACGACACGTCGCGTACACGCGTAACCACGGTAGTACGGTCGCCGAATAAGTGAGGTGACAAGTGTAATAAGAAGATACCAAATAAAAGCT